GGTGCAGGTGACGACGCAGATATCTCCATACAAATTGGTCTACGGAAGGAGCCCGGCAACGACGCTCGATGCCATGTTACCCAACGTCACCGACGAAGAAAACCTCGATGTGAGCGAGTACCTTCATCGCGCCGAAAAAGCCCGACAACTTGCGCGGCTCCGTATCAAGAATCAACAGACGACCGACAGCCACCGTCACAACCTTCGACGACGCTTCGTGGAATACCAGCCCGGTGAACGTGTTTGGGTGTGTACGCCGATACGCCGACGTGGACTAAGTGAAAAGCTTCTGCGACGGTACTTCGGACCGTACAGGGTGGTTCGACGTCTCGGCCCACTTGATTACGAGGTTGTCCCCGACGGCATCACGAACTCTCAACGACGCCGATCGAGACCTGACGTCGTCCATGTCGCACGCCTCAAGCCGTTTCATGCGCGTTAACAAACTGAAACAGTGTTTTTTTTGTATTATTGTTGTATCGTAACTTATTCATTGTACTTTCTTGCATTATTATTGTACCTTCATCTTTAGTTAAACCATCGAGACGATGCCTTTTTCAGAGGGGGGGCAATGCCACGTTCCATTTCCCAAGTTTTTGTTATCGTCCCAAAACACCACACGATTCTCAGCACAAACCGCGCCTGCAGTTTTCTAGAGGGTTCCGGACTGTAGTAGATCATTTTGATAAGATCACGCCCACTGTGCGAATGGTACAGATTGTTCTGGAACGCACGCCGCCGCCAGCGATAGCGCTAGAACATTTGACGGCGGGAGTATAAATGCCGACGCGCTTCGCCGCTTGTCAGTTGTTGATCGAAGGCCGACGCTCCGTTCGCCGCTATCAGTCTGAGACTGCTATCTGTGCGAGACTGCTGCTGTAATTGGACTTTCTGTTTACCGGGCACAGGTTCGCCCAAATAAACAGTTAAATTCCAACAAGAAGTCTCTTGTCTTCGGCCACGTCACGGCCGCGTGACAATATTATTATTATTGTGGTTGTTGTTGTAGATGTTGTTGTTGTTAACTTGTTTGTAATCAGTCATGTTCTCACACAACACGCATCCTATGGTTATCATGTTTGCAGCAGTCACATACCCTCGTCATTCATTGATTGACATCTCGTAATACAAAACTTGGCATATGCAACGCTAGCGAAACGGCCTTGAGTGCATCGTGAGGGCGGCATGTAGTCATGCTGTTACATGACACGCATGTCGTGATTATCATGTTTGGATGTGTCAATTACCTATGTCGTCCGTTCGCGTCGTGTAATACCGAGTGTGGTTCATGCGAAGCTAGCAAAACAGCCGCGAGCACATCATGAGCGTAGCATGTAGTCATGTTGTTACATGACACACATTTCATGTTTATAATGTTGCCCCGCCACGGTGGTCTAATGGCTAAGGTACTCGGTAGCTGACCCGCAGGTCAAGGGATCGAATCCCTGCTGTGGCGGCTTCATTTCTAATGGTGGCAGAAAAGTTGTAGGCTCGCGTGCTCAGATTTCGGTGCACGTTAAGGAACCCCTGGTGGTAGAAATTTCCGGAGCACTCCACTACGGCGTCTCTGACGCTTATATGGTGGTTTTGGGACGTTAAACCCAACATATCAATCAATCATCAACCTCAGATGCAATGGGTTACGATAATTGCGCTTCTATGTTTTGGTATAAACAAAAGCAACCGCAGTAACCTATGAAAAGCTGCCCTTGTTTTTGAAAGGGTTAAGAAAACATTCGTGAAAACCATGCGTGGCTATATCTGCTTATTGCATTCAGCCTGCGATATCTCACATGCTATCTTATTGCCACTCCTAGTCGTTTTAGTAAAATAACTTGTTGCGCCAGTTTGTAGATAATTTATAAAAGTCACAGCATATTCACGAAGTGAATTGTCATGGGTAAGGCGAAGCGCCCGTCTATCCATCCATCCATGTGTCCATCCATCTGTGCATGCGTCCTTGAGTCTGATCGCGTTCGATAATGCAGCCGGCGCGCGGGTAACACCGACGAGACGCGAGTCAATGAAGCCGAGTGCTAGCATCTTCAACGCGCCCGCCACTCTGCTCATCCGAACCACACCAACGATCTGCCACGTACGGCGACTACACAGAAGACTGACAGAGGCACTCGTTTGCACACTCCGGCAAAGCGCGCGCAGCAGCCAATCGGAGAGTAGCGCCATCTTGGAGAGTAGCAGCAGAGTAACGCCATCTTGAAAGTGAGACAAGAAATGAACATCGATTTCTCTTTTTCGTATCTTCTCTCGGACACGCATGACTAGTGACAAGTGACTTTGACATGCTCAATTTTTTTTGCACGACCTCGTTAGTCTGATTCTTTTCTACCAGAGTTACTGCCGCTTACTTTATAGTCACCATCGCGTGGCAACACAATAGGTCTCAGGCGTTTCGGAGGTGAACATATTCTCCGCTCAAAAAAACAATTGCATGTTAGTGATTATATCAATAATGGATGGTTTACGCCAGCAGATAAGAATAAGAAAAGTAATAGCAACATTACGCACTCTACTTAGGCCTATATACTCAATGTTCCACAAAGGTGTCGCTACCAGCGTTGTCGCTCTATACACCGATGATTCGTTATTACAAAACAGTGTTTCGTGGACAAGCTAAAACTGCACCCCGGTATATGCGCCCTCGTGCGAAGGCGTCATATTGAAGGTCATGTGCTTATATAGCCATCCGCTAGCTTATCGGCAAGCTCAGCAGCGACTACCATCAATTACAAAATTGACAAGTAAAACCACTGCCTGCAAAGTATCCACAGAGCTATTCAGTTGAACAGCTAAAGTATGCAAAAAGAAACCCTATTAGGTTCTTTTTACTTTAGAACAATACATTTGATATACCAACAAAAATTAGATTAAATATATTCGCCACAGTTCAGAAATTTTCAGGCAGCGCATTCGCTACCAAAGTGCGGGGGTCAATAACAATAAATTTGTAAATTGTATGGAAGTATCTTAATATACGATGGGTAAAAATCTTATCAGATAAAACTTTTGGAGCAGCATCTTGTACCTGTATCTTCAATACATTTTCAAGAGTATCTTGTATTGTATCGCGATACAATTCGATGTACCTTCGCCCATCCCTGCTTGTTGTGCATTTTTTTCCAGACAACTAACACCTGTTACTACGATTGAACATTTACTGTACTTGAAGCAGTTGCCATACACTTGGACAAAACATGTGCCCGATTCCACACAAAAATGGCGTTAACAAGCACATAATGAACACTGGTAGTTGGTATACACTCATTTAAAGCGCCATGAGTTGAGGAGATAAGCGGCAAGGTGTACGCTCCCGAGTTCAATGCATAATGTTGTGGCTCGGATTTCGGCGGGTCTCGACGTGTGTAGCTAATCCCCGCCACCGGTCCAGTTTAGCCCATCTTGCAGTAATGAAGCGCCGGTATGCAGCGGAGATTACAGCTGTTTATTTACGATGGAGGAAAAAACAAGACAAATATTTCGCTTAATAATGGCTATTTCATGTCAAAAAAGCATCGGAGAAAGAAGCCCGCAGAAACTGATTACAAAGAGTCGCTGTTTTCCAGGTTCATAGATGGGGGAATGGCTAGATATTGCGCTGTCTAGTCAGAGAGCACACGCCACTTCAGGTGTCCTCAAGCCCACCAAGGCTGGCATTCTTGACTCGGGCGTGGCCACCACGCTTTACCTGTGGCATCCGGATGTCCCTTCTTCGACGTGAGAAGGCCGCTTGGTGATAGTTCTCACACTAGTACTACCGGGTGCATATAACATTCCGCCGCTACCCACGCTCAATCAATCAGCAGCAGGATTATCATCTGCAGCGACACCGCTGTCTCTTCAAGAAAGACGTTGCAACTGAAAACCATTATGGTCATCTTTTTGAGAACCTTGCGATGCCGGACTTCAGAGAACCTCACTTCCCGGCTTAAATTGTATATATCCTGCCTTCGGCAGCTTTCAGCAGCCCAGCAGCGCCTCGGCACATTGTTCGAAGAGGGGACACGCCTCTCCTTTCGCCCCAAGTGCCGATCGTTGCAATACGCTCCCACACAGCACTCAGAAATTCGAAAGGCAGAGTTCATTGCTTCAGTCGTGAACGCGCGAAGGCGATCCACTTTCAGCTGGCGTACATAAGGAGGTTTAAAGGTAGGAGGTTCGGGCGTGTTACTTATTCATAAAACAGTGCGAACATACGAACATCGGAGAGACAAATCATTGTGCTGGTCTTTCTGCCCCATATTCTTATGGGCACTCTGCATTATGAAGAACGGTACATAAGCAGCATTTGAAAATCCTTAGGTGCGTGTGGTGGTAGCCTAGTAGGTAAGGCGTCTATTGTCGCAGACCGAGAAGTCTGGGTTAGGCTCTCATGTCATCCGCGTAAACATTTACTGCTAGCTTTTTCTTGTCATTTCAACGTGTTCACTTTGCAAAAATCATCTCCATGACATCAATACATTCCTGGAAGCTCACGTAAAAGACTTTCGTGTTTAATATTCTCAATATACCTAAAGCACTCCAGGATAAGGTTGTGCGAATATTTGCAACGCTGAATATTCGATGCTCGCTCTGCTGTATTTGATTCTGTTTCTACACAGTTGAGATTTGACTACTCGAAGTGTTTCGCTACCACAAAACATAATAAGCCTTGAAACCAGCGCAAAGAATAACATACTTGCGCTCGATACTGCCTAATTTGATGCACATATATACAAACTAGGCTCTGTTGCCACATTTCCAGTTCTCCCTAAGCAGCCGAGCCCTCTAAAAACGAACACAGGGTGCATTATTGTTCAACTCCTATAGTAGCCAATGCCACTCCCTTTCTTTAACATTGCATATCACACACCTTGTATAAGACTTCTAACAGACTTCAGGCTTCTGCTCACGACAAGCAGATCGCCACTCATACTGGCAAAACAACCACAGTTATTAGCCGTGACGTAAAACGCAGTCATTCTATTAGTAGGCACAACACTCACCAGTCTCCTGCTCCAGAAACACTTTGCACACTGTCGAGCTTTGATGTTGGGTAGTGACGTACTTTCACGAGTTCCTGCGTCAATAAATGAAAAAAGCTCTCTCAAGTTATCTCACACTGGTTCATTTAGTCGCAACAGTTTCGAAACGAAAGTCTTGATTGTCGAATGCAAAATCGACTGCTGTCAACACGACTAATGCAAAACGACGTAACTTAAGCTTTGCAGCAATGTATAAATGACCTAGAAACAACTTAGCATCACCTGCCTAAAGCTCAGCAACACCCTAAACGTAAAATAAATTTAAACTAGCATCTCCTATATAAGGTATATCAACAACCTACAAGCAACCTACAAGATAGCTCATGCCCCCTAGCCAAAGCCGAGGCGGACGAGGCAGACAGACGTAGTACGCACTAAACAGAAGTAGAAATGTTATGCACCTTCAAGTATCTAGATAAGATGCAAGTAGGTTGTATATAGTTATGTAACTATGGCACCACTAACGTTTGCAATACTAGCGCCAGCAGTGGTAGGCATGTATATTGTGTCGTACATGGCTTCCACGTGATGATTCTCATGCTTGCGTCTGGCAGTCTATTCATGTCACGTGATACCAAATTTGGTGTATGTGGAGCTAGCGAAATGGCCGCGAGCACGCTATGAGCGTAGCATGTAGCCATGTTCTTACATGACACGCATGTCACGACTATAACGTTTCCACCAGTCATATACCTTCGTCATTCATTCACGTCACGTATTACCAAATTTGGTATACGTGAAGCAAGCGAAACACCTTCAATTAATCATGGGCGTTGCATGTAGTCAAGTTCTAACATAACACGCATCTCATGAGTATTGTGTTTGCACAAGTCATATATCTTCTTCATCCATTCATGTCACGTAATACAAAATTTTGTACATGTGAAGCTAGCGAAACGACCGCGAGTGCACCATGAGCGTATGGCGTGTACTCATGACACGCATGACACGCATGACATGCGTGTCATGTTTTTCCACGTTAGGGCATGTCACTTATAAGCGCCATGCAGTCATGGCATACCATGCCAGTTTTAAATGCGACGCAATTTTTAGCAAACTTCAGCGACCTTGAGCGTATCTATCTATCTATCTATCTATCTATCTATCTATCTATCTATCTATCTATCTATCTATCTATCTATCTATCTAGCCGCCTACGACATTTAGTTCTCCTGGCCCTTTATATAATGGTATCAATACCTAACTTGGTATGACATAACATGACTGTATGAAGAACATGTTTGACTAGTCATAACATGAAAATAATGACATGTTTGCCATGAATGTCATGATTACATTTCATGGTCCAGCAGCTCTTGTGGTGGTATCGTTAACCTGGCATGTTGCAAAACTGGTATAGTATGACATGATTGCATGGCGAACACAAGCGACAGACCCTAACATGAAAATGATGATATGCATGTCATGTAAAAACATGACTTCATACCACGCTCATCATGCCCTCACGGCCGTTTTGCTAGCGTCACACTATACCGAATTTGGTATTATGGTACGCGAATGAATGACGAAGGTATGATACTGGTACAAACATGAAAAACATGAGATACGTGTCATGTAACAACATGACTACATGCTAAGCTCATGAAGTGCTCGCGGCTGTTTTGGTAGCTTCACATGTACAAAATTTGGTGTTACGCGACGCGAATGGACGACATAGGTTAATGACACATCCAAACGTGATAATCACGACATGCCTGCCTTGTACCAACATGACTGCATGCCACACTCATGATGGCCTCGCGGCCGTTTCGCTAGCTTCATATATGCCCAATTGGTAATACGTGACGCCAATAATACGTGACGCCATCATCTTAATACATAAGAAAGGAGATGACAAGGACTTGAAGAATTACAGGCCGATCAGCTTGCTCTCTGTAGTATACAAGCTATTTACAAAGGTAATTGCTAACAGAGTAAAGAAAACATTAGAATTCAATCAACCAAAGGAACAAGCAGGATTTCGAACAGGCTATTCAACAATTGACCAAATTCACACTATCAATCAGGTAATAGAGAAGTGCTCAGAGTATAACCAACCACTCTACATAGCCTTCATAGATTACGAGAAGGCGTTTGATTCAGTAGAAATATCAGCCGTCATGCAGACACTGCGGAATCGGGCCGTAGATGAAGTATATATAAACATTCTGGAAGAAATCTACAGGGGATCAACTGCTACCATAGTGCTTCATAAAGAAAGCAACAGAATACCAATCAAGAAGGGTGTAAGACAGGGGCACACAATCTCCCCAGTGCTATTTACCGCGTGCTTACAGGAGGTTTTCAGAAGCCTAGAATGGGAACAGTTAGGGATAAGAGTTAATAGAGAATACCTTAGTAACCTGCGCTTCGCCGATGACATTGCATTGCTGAGTAACTCAGGAGACGAATTGCAACTCATGATTACGGAGTTAGACAAGGAGAGCAGAAAGGTGGGTCTTAAAATTAATCTGCAGAAAACGAAAGTAATGTACAACAACCTCGAAAGGAGCAGCGCTTCGAGATAGGTAATGGTGCACTGGAAGTTGTAAAGGACTATGTCTACTTAGGCAGGTAATAACCGCAGAGCCTAACCACGAGATTGAAGTAACTAGAAGAATAAGAATGGGGTGGCGCACATTACGGCAAGCACTCTCAAATTATGACAGGTAGATTGCCACTATCCCTCAAGAGGAAGGTATATAACAGCTGTATCTTGCCGGTACTTAGCTACGGAGCAGAAACCTGGAGACTTACAAAGAGGGTTCAGCTTAAATTGAGGACGACGCAGCGAGCAATGGAAAGAAAAATGGTAGGTGTAACCTTAAGAGACAAGAAGAGAGCAGAGTGGATTAGGGGACAAACCGGGGTTAAGGATATTATAGTTGAAATAAAGAAGAGGAAATGGACTTGGGCCGGGCATGTAGCGCGTAGACAGGATAACCGCTGGTCATTAAGGGTAACTAACTGGATTCCCAGAGAAGGGAAGCGGGTTAGGGGGAGACAGAAGGTTAGGTGGGCAGATGAGATTAAGAAGTTTGCGGGTATAAATTGGCAGCAGCAAGCACAGGACCTGGTCAACTGGCGGAACATGGGAGAGGCCTTTGTCCTGCAGTGGACGTAGTCAGGCTGATGATGATGATGATGATGATGACGCCAATGGATGACGAAGATATGTGACTGCATGGTGCAAACATGATCATCATGAGATGCGTGTCATGTGAAACATGACTACATGCCACAGTCAAGGAGTCAATACATTTCGCCGTGACGCGGTGAGCGTAGTGGCCGACGTTCATTTTGTCGGGTCACGCCAACGTTGCCACGCCAGGCGCCGGTCCTGCCATACACTCGCAGGCGCGCGCCACGCTTCGTTGCTTTGACGCATGCGCGTTTCAGCGCGTCCAGCGTCCCCCCGCCAAGAAAAGAGGGAGACGCAGTGGTGTCTGGGTAACGCATCGGTGCAAAATGCAGCATGTCGCATTTCGCGCCGTTCGCCGTCGGGCCGCGCCGACGGACGCTGGTCGCGCCCGTCTCGTGCGTCAATATACGTCGACGCTACATTGGAGTATATTGGGTGCTTCGTGAAGCGCTCGCTGCCGTTTTGCTAGCTCCACATATATTAAATTTGGTGTGATGTGACATCAATGGATGACGAAAGTATACGACTGGTGCAAACATGATAATCCTGACACGTATGTCATGTAAGAACATGACAACATACCACGCTCATATGCGTGCTCACTGCAATTCCGCTAGCTCCACACATACTAGATTTGGTATCACGTGACGTGAATAGATGACGAAGGTAAACGACACATCCAAACGTGATAATCATGACACGGAAGTCATGTATGGCATTATTTACTTCCACATCGTAACGTTGTGTTGATTTTAAAGTGATATATCAACCTCTCTCATTCGTGCTTCGCATATTGTCGATTCCCACTGTACGTGGGATCTGCCGTGGGATCTGCGATATGTCATGTGAAGAAAACTACCGCAGGAGGAGGAAGATCATAATATGTAAATCATTATATTCATGATATATATCATAATTTTCATGCTATCACTAGTAACTTATGCTCGTCATATAGTCATGTTATGCCATACCGATTTTCGTATAGAAAGCCAAAGCAACGCATGGTGGCGCTGCGCTGGATGGATGGATGGATGGATGGATATGGCTGTACCCTTTAGATCGGGTGGTGGCAAGCGCCACCAAGCCGTATTACTTAATGAACCAAAAACTAGATTTATTTTTTCCTTTAAAAAGTGAGTTTGAGGAGTCGTACTTTGCAGTGAAGAGTTTAATTTTCACTCGTGCCTTAATTGACTTTAGCCACCAACCAGATAACCTCCTTCTAGTTAAGTCTACCCGCTTAAAGTCTATTTTGCCCTCCCGGTCCTCTAAACCCCAGTGTTTTGAAAAACTCTGCGCCATCATCCTGAACTATAGGGTGAAGCCCTTTACAGAACATTATCAAGTGTTCGGCAGTTTCTTCTTCCTCTCCACACGCACTGCATACTGTGTCTACCCCTTCATATTTAGCCCGATATGTCTTGGTTCGCAGTACTCCCGTCCTGGCCTCAAACAGTAGAGAACTACCCCGAGTATTATCATAGATCCTTTCTTTGGCGATTTCCTGCTAAAAGTTCGATAGATTTCTAGTGCGGACTTCTTAATCATGCCCATTTCCACATGTCAGTCTCCGTTTTCTTCACTTTCTTCTTAACCGATAGTTCTTTTTGGTTTGGCCACCTGCTGTTTTCTAAGTATTTACCAGTCAATTTCCTGGTTCGCTTCCTCCATTTTGTATCGACATTCTTTATGTACAAGTAGCTGAAAACCTTCCTAGCCCAACGCTCCTCCCCCGTTTCTCTCAATCGCTTCTCAAATCCATCGCGACTCTGGACAGGAAGCGCCATCTTTGATAGAAACGTAGAAATCGGGGATGTAGGTGGCTGCGTTTTATCCTTCTCTCCATTGCACTTCGGCTCACTTACGTGCTCGTGCAGAGAGTGCGCACACCTA